GTGGCGCTGCAATCTTTGGCTATGTCTTGGGCTACTCAAATATTTTACGTTTTTGATACTAAATTAACTTCTGAAGTAAAATTTTTTATTGTTTTTATATTTTTCAATATATTTATTTTGTTTGTACAAAATATAAAAATAATTTTTAACGATACAATAGTCTTCGTTAAGCTTAACATTGACAAAAATTCAACGCAAAGCGACATGCAACGGAGAAAAATTTCAACATGGGATAGGTTAATATATTTTTTCGTACATAATCAGTTATCCGAAATATCGATTTTCCGAACAACCCCAGTCCCCAATTGAGTCGGATAATCGATGCTCTACTGTAATGGATTAGAATTGATGTAACTTCTGTTAGCAATTTGAACATATGATTTTTGAAAGTAAGTTTGGTGCAAAAAACTATCAATAAACTAGTAAAAATCTCTGGCTATCAGACATGGAATTTTATGGCAATTTTGTAAGCCTATTTTTAATAAAAGAGCATTGTGGACCATTTTTATGCTAATTTTCAATCTTGCAATGATTATGGATTGACTATCTGGTCAATGGCTGCACCTTCACTTTACACAAAGTTACTTCTGCTATTATAAGATATACATTTTGTTAAAAGTAAGGTATAACCTGTCTTTCACTATTGACTAATATTGCTAGAATTCACCTGGGCTTCCCATCTTTCAGAGAATTAAATATTTTGACTGGTTAATATATTACAAATGTTTTAATGGTCTTATCAAGATTGGCTTTCACTCCAAATTCCATTGAGAAAACTTTGCTCACTTACTTACATTTTTACTCTTTTTCATCTAAATATATCCCAATCATCTTTCTTTTATCATATATCAAAAGCCTTAATAATGTTGATGAATTTTTATATTTTGACCTTCCCAATTTTAAAATATTTAAAAAACCACTATCTCTCTTAAAACACAAAAAAAACAAAGGGTTTATTTGTTTTTATGATATACAGGGAGGTGTAAAAGTAGGTATACAGTTGAGAATCTGAGAAATACAAATGTTTGGTGTTTATTATTATTATTTTTATCGTCTTTTATTAGTTTTTATTTTTATGTACAAATTAAAATCTTATGTTTTTTCTTCTTATTTTCTCTGTATGTTTTTTCCCATAATAACAAACTGTATACCTACTTTTGCACCCCCCTGTGTGTGTGTTTTTGTAGGTGGAAATCAAATGTCTAACCAGACTTTCTGTAAATTTAATGAAATAAAATTTTGGGGGAAACTTAAAAAAATCTTTTAATTTTAAGTTTAGAAAAAACAAAAATTTAAAAGATGTTAATTCTGTTGCTACTAGGAAGAGAGCATTTTATTTTAAAAAAAGGAAAAAAGTGGCATGCAAAATAGATTGCTAATTTTAAGTATGGCCTTAGTGGAAGAGAGTCCATTGGATAAGATGTAAAGACACAGGAGATTGCTGTACTTGGATGTTGGAAATATAAAAGGGTGTGCAATATAAATTTACAAAAATATTTTACTAAAGTAACTATAATTTACAATGAATACAAATGCATAAATTGTTTAGGCAATTTGTCATTAAGGTAAAAACTGTTCATGCATTTGCAATAATTGTAAATTATATTATAATGCTCTCAGAGTGTTCATAGTTGTCAAATGTGACAAGTAGTTCTGTTAGAAACAATGACTGTGTGTTTTAATTTATAACATTTACCACAAATTGAAATTGTAATGTCTGATCCATTTGTTTATTTTTTTTTAGTAGGAAGGTCTACAGCCTAATTGTGTAATGAAATATTTCTAACATGCAAAAAATAAAGTTATGAAAACTGATCAGAAATCTTTTGACAGTGACACACTTATGGACTATTTATTTGGTGTTTATTGAGACTACTACTACTACTACAACTACTACAACAACAACAACAACTACTACTACTAAATTAAGAAAGTTTTTAAATTTTGTTAATGGGAAACATGTATTCCATTATAGTGTCTACATAAAGGTTTTTGAGAACAGGAAAAGTATATCATTTTGTTTATTGTCTGCAGAAAATAATGTCTACTTAATTAATAGTCCTGTTACTTTACTGAACTGGGAATTGTATTCAAAGTACAAAAGGTCCACTAAACCAAGGTTCCATTGTACACATTATATACATACAAGCTTCGAGTGAAAACAAATCTCCGAGATGTTACATAAATTAGATATTTGATTATTTGTTTTAAAATGTGCAAATTCAGCTAACTCTTACCTCCTATCTATCATTTGATAGCATCTCTTTAACCAGCCAAAACTTGGCATATTGCTTCTTTGAGTGGCACCATGTAAATATATTAAAACATAATCTTCTGCTACTAACTGATCAAGGGTGACAAGCACATATCTGAAAATTTTAAAAAGTATTTAATATGTTGTTAATATTTTTAAAATAAGTTTTAGCAATAAAACTTGCAGAAATAGATTATCCATGACATAATCATAATCTCTCCTACTTCTATCAGGAAGATAGCAAGCACTGAATACAATTATAGCATTTCTCGTTGATCCAAAATAACCTATAAATAAAAAAAAAATACTTTTATTATTTTTTTAAATATATATATATAGAAATTAAGCTAATAACAGTTTTTGCCAAATGATGACAGCTTCTCAAATTTGGCTATAACTTTCTTTGTCTAATTTCAAATACAAATGCAAAAGCGAAAAAAAAGTACAGAAACTACATTGTAATTTTATAATAAGTCCAAATAAGAAATACAATTTCAAAATTTAAATTATCTATTATTAACAGTCAAATGATTTGTAATTATTTTAGTGGACTGTAAAACTTTCAAATTTTAATTTCAAAACTAAACTGTTCCAGAATTTTAAATTTCATTACTGTAATTAACCAAAGAAAAAATTCAGTTCACTGATGCTGATTTAAAAACAGTACAAATATAAAGTCTCCATCACAAAGAAATTATTTCTCTTCATATCTGGTGAAATTTCAAGCTCTGTGAAAGTTAAAAGGCTGAATAACAAAAATAACAAAGTAAGTCAAATATGATGTTTCATTTTACTAAGTCAATTTGGCTACAACTTTTCAGAAACAATTAACCAAATAACAACTTAATTTGTAGCTTTGTGGCCATCGGCCATATTGTTACATTTTATTTTTTTCATTTTAGTTTGTAAGATAGTTTTTAATAGTTCCTTATTCCCTTTGTTCTCAGTCTGTCTAGAACTTTCTTTTCATTTCCTTTCTTCCCTATGGATGAGATCATCAATTCCAAGAACTGAAGACAATGGACCACTAATCCCCAGAACTAAAGACAATGAGTTACCAGTTCCAAAAACTTTAAACAAAGGAGTAGCCAAGACCCAAGGGCTGATGAGAATAAAAAATGAGTTAGTCCGGACTGGGCCTTCGTGGTAGTCAAAAGAGAGAGAGAGAGAGGAGTGCTCTAGATCGGAGGTGACTTGTGACTGAATAATTCAGAGGGAAGGACATTTCGGTTACTAGGGATGAAAAGAGAACTCTAGGGTCAGCATTGGATTGAGGTCCCAACATTAGAAAGAGAGAGAAGATATACATCGATATATAACTGTGAAAGTCAAATCGGTGATCATCCAGTGACCATGAGAAAATCCCAAAACCCCGTGTATTGTGATCTTTCTTCTTTCCTGTCTACTGTCTCATAGAATCTGCTATGCCTTTAGGTATAAGTTAGTGATTAAGAGATTTTAGTTTCTGCATGTGTACTATTGTCGCAACTTTACTTGTGGTACTAAACAACCGATTACTATGTATAATGTAAATTTAGTGGAGTGGGATCCAATAAGAACCTAGTTCATGAGCAGCAAATAAAACATTTGTGATTATAAAAAACTTTACTAAGTATTCTTTGTGCTAGTCTATACACATGTCACTCACAAACATTGCAGCTTAATCCCTAAATATATATAAATAAACGTCAATACCTCCATGAGAAAGAACTTTCTTGTATGGTTCAATAACTTTCATATCGATGTTTCTTTTTACTCCACCAACTATGCAAGTCTTCCAACTGCGTTCTTCTTCCAATTCTTCTGCAGCAGAAAATTCAGGTATTGGTTCACTCAAAGAAGAACCAGGACCTAAAAATTACATTCCATAAGGCAAAACTTACTAAAATCTACTTATAATTATCACACAGTGGAACCTGTGTGTTAATGGGTTATCTGGATCCTGTTTATCAAGATTATAAAATAATCCCTGTCTCAGAATTATGAAAGACAGACACAGAAAAATATATGAATGTGAAAAAATAATATTAAAAAGAACTCCTAAGTACAGTCTTGCTTCAGTGTAAAGTTATGTGTCTGTACAGACATAACTCTATACTGATTGTTGCTTACATGCTATGCAAGCTGATGCTTCGTAGCATGTAAGCAACAATCAAAAAAGAAGTCAGAGTTTTTGTTTCAGTTATTAATTGAAATGACATAGTATTCTAATTGAAATTGAATCTCTACTGTATGAGATATTAACAGTATAAAGCAAAAAACATATACTGTTGTAAAAATACATAAAATGTACAATAAATATATATGAACTTATTTATATATCATTAATGAATTTTCCATTTTTGACATTGATATATGATTTTTAATTATTTTTTTTATTTAAATTTGAAAAATTGTATAAGTATGAGAAAAAATGAAAGCAAACTTCTTAAATCTACAATGCAATTATAAAACAACTAAAAACAAAAGCTTAGAATATTTCAAATTTTACTTTTTCCTGTCTGAATATTATACTGTCTATAATGCTTCTGAATGCATTATTAAACTATTTTAATTAAATATTATAATTTATTGAAAAAAATAATAGAAACATTAGGAATGATGATGAAAGAAATAATATGAAAATGAATTTAATAGAAATTTTTGTAATAATTTCACTAGAAATTTATTATTTATTTATTTAATCTTTTAATAAAAAGGTATTTGAAAGAATATCAACATTAAAATCAATAATACATATTCAAGCAAAAAAAAAAATTGCTTTTAAATTTCACTTGTAGAAAATTGAAGAAATTATGCCTTTTTCAAATGAAAAATTTATTTTTTGATAAAAGATATTTGATAAAATAAATATACTTTTAGTATCATCTTTATATAAACACTAAGAAGTTCAAGGAGTCAATGCTTACTTAATGTTTTTAAAAAGATAAAAAGTCTCATCTTCAGATCATTAATGTTAAAAAATGTATTCAAATTTTATTTAATTTCTATTTTGAAATGTCAAGTTTTGTAATTACTTAAAATTTTGAAAAAAAAAATCATTACAGACATGAACTGATGTTAAAATTTTAAACTCAGTGTATTTTTTGTTAAAGTTGCTAATTTAGATACAATTAGTTTAGTTAGTTTGATGCCACAGGATAAATGTAAATTTTCCCAAGTATAAAAATAGTGGATGAAATGATTTTAAAAAAGTTATACAAAACTTATTAACAGTTCCAGTTCAAAATTCTACTTATAAGGAATTTAAAAATATTATACTTACATTCAAAAACAGATTCGTTAAGTTCTTCAGGAGTGTCAATATCATCTGGTGTAATAAGATCATCAACTGGAGAAAAGACATCAACATCACTTTTATTACTTAAAGAAGAAAGACTCTTTTGATCATCATCATGTTCATCAGATTCTAGAATATCCCTGTTAACAGATATCTTCTTTTTCCGTAAATTTCCAACTGAATTAAGATTAATGGAGCTATCTGTAAAATTAACAAGTTACCATTATTGAAATTGTTAATGATTAGACAATTTTAGTTCATTTATATTTCAGGTTCTGAAGACAATGTATACTCAAAAACATTAAAAAATTTAGTAGAAGAGGTTAATTTTCATGCTTAAAAATATTGTTAATAAAATATGCTTAACACATGCACTACTTCTTCAAGAAATTTTTTTGTTAGTATATTAGATGGTTAATTTGCCAGCATTTAAGAAATGTTAACTGGAAAAAATAGTTATCATGCTGTTCAAATTTCTTTGAAATTTGATTGTTAAAATAAAATGACAATATAAAACTTAGTCACAGAAGAAAAGTGTATAGAATTGAAGACAACAGAAATTCACTCTTTCAAAACAATAATCATCAATGGAATGACACACCTCCTTGCAGTTTAACTGTTTTCTCCATTTCACTCTGTCCTTTAACTCTTGATTTTTCATTTATTACATTACCATTTTGATTATTAAAAACTTCAGAATTTGTTGCATTACTTCTCTCGTTGGCAAATTTAATATCTGTTTTATCCAACTGATTTAGTGAGGAAACTGATTTCACAGTTTTAATCTCTATTGATCCATCAGGATTCAAAATAGGTGTAGAATTTTGTTTTGAATTATTTCTAAATGTATCTGCTTCTAGATTTTTTACATTTAATAATAATGTTTGTTTTGATAAATCAAGAGAATTTTCATTTAAGGATGTGTCTGCAGATAACTGATCATTATTTGGCAAAATTTTCTTTAATGTTGTAGAACTTTTCACAAGACTTTCTTCAAAAAATGCTCTAATATCCCCAGAAGTAGGTGTAGTAAGATCACTTGGTGTTGTATCTTTAGTTTTTGCAGATCTGGATCTATCAATAATATCCTTTCCACTTCTCTTCTGATCTTCAAATACAGCTCTTATTTTTATGTCATCAATGACATCCATATTTAATTCATGTCTAGAAACAGATATTAGTTTTTTCTTATTTTCTAATGGTTGATTTTTTATGTATTCTAATGATTCAAAATTATTCTTTTCCTGCCTCAACATTTCAATAATATCATCATCAATAAACTCTGAATATATTTCACTACGTGTTACAATTTCTTCAATTTCAGCTGGACTAAGAATATCTTGTAATCTGCCACTTAAATTATAAATATCTTTTATTTTCTCCATGTCAAAACAAGATTTCACTTTATTTACTAATGCTGTATCTGGTACATCCTCAGATGCCTTTTCATCAAAAAGGAATCCTTCACCATTTTTTAATTTGTTATTTGATAATTTATTGTCTTTCTGAACATTTTGTGGGAATTGTTTTTCTGAGTCATTATCACTACTTATTGAAAAATCTTGAATAAAACTATCTTCTAAACTATTTGAAAAATTATTCTGGTTATTTATATTTGATCTATGTTCTATTATTGAATTTATCTGATTAACACAATGTTCATCGTCATCATCATCATCATCATCAATGGACAAGTCTTCATCACTGATTGAATATGCAGTATCTAACTTTCCAGTGACCAAATCATCTTCAAAATATTCCTCTTTGTCAGAGGAAAATGAATCATGAAATGATTGTCCATCTGTTGAAAACGGAATGTGTCGTAGCTTACCTGAAATTTATTTTTGAATATTTAATTTCAAACAGGATAATATTAAACTCTTGAAATTTTAATTTGTATGCAATTTTACTTAATCTTATTTTATATTCAAATTTTAAAACTTAATATTTTTATATTGAATAAACAATTTTAATAAGTAAAAATAAATTCTAATATAATAATAATCAAAATTATAGAGCAATATAAAATAATCTCAATCAATGTTCACACCACCAATGTGAAAATTACAAAAATTCCATTGTTTTATTGTACATGCTCACACAAATTTTATTATGATTGCATTATTAGTATAAAAATTATAGCAAATTTCTCAATGCCTAGTTACTTTCCACCCAGTGTATAGAATAAAATTCCATTATGCATAGTTCTGAAATAGCATTTAATTTTTTCAAATTAAAATGAACACATTTAATGAATTAATTTAATCATTACAAATTCCTTTTAATCTCCTTGCTTATATTCAGAGAAAAAATTAATCAAATAATTGAGTTCAAAATTTAAAATGGCAATTTTTATACAATATAATAAAATTTGGTTAAAACTCTTCTCAACCAAATTTTATATATACTTATATACAATTTCTGATATATAAAGATGTATGCTTAAAATCTATTAAATTATAAATATACAAATTTTACATTACTATTTTAAAAGAAAATCTATCACTGTTTAAAATATTAGTAATATATTTCTAAAACTTCATACTTAGACTACCAAATTATAATATCAGCTTAATAATTTTTAAAAATATTTTCTATATTTCCAAAAGAAATTTTAACTAAAAAAAATCAATTTTAACAGGAAAGATTCAATTGAAAAATTTTTTTGTAACATAACATTCAAAAGAATAAGTGTAGAATAATTCTTCATGTACAGTACTCATTTAATCATAAAGAAATTTTTACAAAGTTTAGTTATAAACAAAGATGTCTTAATGTATAAAATTCAAATAAAAATAACCAGTCTTTGATAATTGTAATAAAATTTAAAAATTTAAGATTAAATATTGGAAATTTAGATATGTGTTAACAGTTTTCAGGAATGCTTTAGATTGCTATATATAAAAATATAAAAAGTTATAAAATTGTGTACACAATATGATTAATTTGATAATTTTATATTTCTTAATGTATTAAGAATTATTTTTAATTATAACTAGTAGTAAAGTTTTTTCATTAAAAAAATTATTTCAATATTGCTTTAATTTCATTATTTTACAAAGTAATAAACTGATTTCCTAATCAATTTAATTACAGGACTTAAAAAAATCAAATACTGATCAATTAAATTTAATGAGATTATAGACCTTTTCATTATTTTTTAACAGAATAATTAATGTTCTAATATTTTTGGTTTTAATACAATTGCCGCAACTTTAAAAAAATTGTTAAATGCAAATTTTAATTTTAAAACTAATCTAATCAGAAATAGCATCTGACTGGAAACTAAATTCTATTTAATTCCAAAACTTTCTAAATTTTACATCAATGTTTTCTTTTGCATTTTAAACTCTTACCATATTCATTAATTTTAGAATTTCATTTCATAAAATGCTATAACTTTACAGTAATAATAATTTATTATATAAATAAGAATTACAATTAACATAGGAATTCCTCTCAATGTCTTCCTGACAGACCTTACTTCAATTTTTAATACCCAAACTCCATTGAACATATACACCTCAACATATATTTTTGGTTGATTTCATATTAGAAAATTTACATTTGTCCCAAACATTCAATACATCATCATTAACAATGTGGAAAAAAAAAATCTAAAGTTACATTCCAAATACAATTGATTAGAATATTAAAAATCATATGTAGACATTTTGAAAGCACAGAGAATGTCAAAAAATGGAATGTATGACTCAAGGGAATGGAATGGTGTCGGGATCACCAATTTTGATCACACACTGAAGATATAGGAACAGGAAAATTAAAGTTGAAAATTGCACAATAACAAAACCTTTAGGATTTCTATTATTCACAAAGACTGGTGGCTCAGTAGGGGTGTGCCAGTTTCATAGTCATGAGATTCAAATCTTGTTGATATCAAATACCAATGTGATTTTTTTATAAAACTAATTTTCAATAACACACCAACTGCCGTAAATCATCAATCTATAATTTGGCACTAATAATAATAAATCACAAATAAATTTGGCTCTAGAGTATCAGGTTTAGTAATGTTTATATGTATAAACTAATTTTCACTTTATTTTGGTATTTTTTAATTTATTATATTGTCAGTGAAAACTGATTTTTAGAAAACTACAAATGTACAATAAACAGGTTAATAAAACAATAAAATTGATCTGTTTCAAGTAATAATTCAATATCAAAATCAATTAAGAAAGGCTACAATATTTAAAAATAAAACATTTTCTGTATATTCATGTACAGTACTCTGGCAACAGTCATTGTTTAACCTAAATGTGTCTATAATTGCATCTTTGTTAAAGAATGAAAACATGACTTCACAATACTCATGCTAACACTGATAGCATAGAAATTTGTTCTGCAAAAGAAATCACTGCATGACAATATTGCAAAATTACATTTAAAGGATGTTTTTACATATTATGAAAGCATCCTTCAACATCAAGATCTAAATGTAGGTGAGGGTTCTTTATCAATTTTAGAAGTTGCAAAGGCAGGAGGAGGAAACATTAAACACTCTGATATTTTCAAATGTGATATAGTAGGCATGATTCTCCACCAAATTAGTTGATGATGGAAGGGTATTTTTAATCATTAATCAAGTTTTTCCAATGAAATGTGTAAATCATAATCTTATTTTAAAAATGCTGCATTTATTCAATGCGCACACAGCAAAAATGTTTGTTGTTTCACAAGCTTCTATGACAATTATCATCCACAAAATTGTGCTTCCAAAGTGCAATAGATTGAATAAAAATGTCTTTTAATTAACAAAATTGGTTTTGAATAATGACAATTTTATTTATATCTTATTGTCTTCCCAAGTAAATTATAAATGCAGTAAATATTATTTATGAATCCCATATATACTTGAATATTTGAAATAAATATAATAAATTTAAAATACCAAGAAAAAAGTGAAATCTTTATATACAGTTGACCCCTCTATAACACTGTTTTATATGAATTCCATGTTGTATGAGTCACTTAGATTTTACAAATACGTGAGCCATTTACAGCCTGGCACCCATATTTGTAAAATCTAAGTGACTTATACAACATGGAATTCATATAACCCAGAATTATCAACAATGTTATGGGGGGGGGTCAACTNCCACTGTATTTAAAATATAATACAACTTATTATATTCATAACTATAATAAAAGCCAAACTTCTTATAATTACAAATATTAAATCAGCTGAAAAAAATTAAAAATATACTAAATATAAAAATTTTCTTCATTTAGAACTATTTCTAGACAAAAATTATTTTAAAAATACATAATTATACAGTCATGTCTGTATTTGTTTGAGCAAAAAGAATTCATTGTTATGAATACACAGTATAAAGTAGAGATCTACCAGCAAAATAGTCTACTTAGAAGTTTTTATTCAATCTTTTATCTATGCCTATAAAATAATAGATTTAACATACCTTAATGATTTGAATTATTACATTAATATTTTGTTTTTGATATTTTCTTGAATGAAAACAAAAAATTATTCTAAAAATCTAACTTGAGATCAAAATTTGAGAAATAATTAATTAGTTAATTGAATGAAAAGACAAGGAAAAAACTAGTTAAAATTATATTAACTTAATAATTACCAACCAACTGAGTTATTTAATAATCAACTATTGGATTGTTCAGAAAGTAAGTTCAGTTTTTCTGTGCGGAAAAAAAACTATTTTTATAATAAATAAATATTTTATTGAATTATATATCGACTATTTTGGCCAAATACCTGTCATCATAGTTTCTGATAGTAGCATGATTTCACATTCATAAAAGTTTTGACTGTTGCTTACAAAAAAATGAATCCAAGTGATTTTTGACATTGTCATTTCAAGTAAATGTCTTACAGTTAAAAAAAAATTTGTATAGACCAGAACAAGTAATAATCTGAGTTGCTCAATCTGGCAAATATGGTTGGTGTGATAGCACATCCCATCTAAGTTATTCATTATTATTATTATTTATTGTACATATAAATCANTTCTAATATTTTTGGTTTTAATACAATTGCCGCAACTTTAAAAAAATTGTTAAATGCAAATTTTAATTTTAAAACTAATCTAATCAGAAATAGCATCTGACTGGAAACTAAATTCTATTTAATTCCAAAACTTTCTAAATTTTACATCAATGTTTTCTTTTGCATTTTAAACTCTTACCATATTCATTAATTTTAGAATTTCATTTCATAAAATGCTATAACTTTACAGTAATAATAATTTATTATATAAATAAGAATTACAATTAACATAGGAATTCCTCTCAATGTCTTCCTGACAGACCTTACTTCAATTTTTAATACCCAAACTCCATTGAACATATACACCTCAACATATATTTTTGGTTGATTTCATATTAGAAAATTTACATTTGTCCCAAACATTCAATACATCATCATTAACAATGTGGAAAAAAAAAATCTAAAGTTACATTCCAAATACAATTGATTAGAATATTAAAAATCATATGTAGACATTTTGAAAGCACAGAGAATGTCAAAAAATGGAATGTATGACTCAAGGGAATGGAATGGTGTCGGGATCACCAATTTTGATCACACACTGAAGATATAGGAACAGGAAAATTAAAGTTGAAAATTGCACAATAACAAAACCTTTAGGATTTCTATTATTCACAAAGACTGGTGGCTCAGTAGGGGTGTGCCAGTTTCATAGTCATGAGATTCAAATCTTGTTGATATCAAATACCAATGTGATTTTTTTTATAAAACTAATTTTCAATAACACACCAACTGCCGTAAATCATCAATCTATAATTTGGCACTAATAATAATAAATCACAAATAAATTTGGCTCTAGAGTATCAGGTTTAGTAATGTTTATATGTATAAACTAATTTTCACTTTATTTTGGTATTTTTTAATTTATTATATTGTCAGTGAAAACTGATTTTTAGAAAACTACAAATGTACAATAAACAGGTTAATAAAACAATAAAATTGATCTGTTTCAAGTAATAATTCAATATCAAAATCAATTAAGAAAGGCTACAATATTTAAAAATAAAACATTTTCTGTATATTCATGTACAGTACTCTGGCAACAGTCATTGTTTAACCTAAATGTGTCTATAATTGCATCTTTGTTAAAGAATGAAAACATGACTTCACAATACTCATGCTAACACTGATAGCATAGAAATTTGTTCTGCAAAAGAAATCACTGCATGACAATATTGCAAAATTACATTTAAAGGATGTTTTTACATATTATGAAAGCATCCTTCAACATCAAGATCTAAATGTAGGTGAGGGTTCTTTATCAATTTTAGAAGTTGCAAAGGCAGGAGGAGGAAACATTAAACACTCTGATATTTTCAAATGTGATATAGTAGGCATGATTCTCCACCAAATTAGTTGATGATGGAAGGGTATTTTTAATCATTAATCAAGTTTTTCCAATGAAATGTGTAAATCATAATCTTATTTTAAAAATGCTGCATTTATTCAATGCGCACACAGCAAAAATGTTTGTTGTTTCACAAGCTTCTATGACAATTATCATCCACAAAATTGTGCTTCCAAAGTGCAATAGATTGAATAAAAATGTCTTTTAATTAACAAAATTGGTTTTGAATAATGACAATTTTATTTATATCTTATTGTCTTCCCAAGTAAATTATAAATGCAGTAAATATTATTTATGAATCCCATATATACTTGAATATTTGAAATAAATATAATAAATTTAAAATACCAAGAAAAAAGTGAAATCTTTATATACAGTTGACCCCTCTATAACACTGTTTTATATGAATTCCATGTTGTATGAGTCACTTAGATTTTACAAATACGTGAGCCATTTACAGCCTGGCACCCATATTTGTAAAATCTAAGTGACTTATACAACATGGAATTCATATAACCCAGAATTATCAACAATGTTATGGGGGGGGGTCAACTGTATCTAGCATTGATACCAACAAGAACTGAAATACCAACCTCACAACTATGAAACTGGCACACTTCCCCCACCAAGCTCTGTAAATAAAAAAATTCTAAAAGGTTTTAAGTGATTGAGAAAATTAAAGTTGAAAATTGCACATTTAATTTTGAGTAGTGCACTTTACTGGTTGGCATATGTCAGTTGTTGGGAATGCACTACATCCTCACTGAATGTGATCAAGACTGATGACTCCAACATCATATCATCTCCTTATCAAACAGCTGGTGCAAGAGGAGGTATCGTAGCAGCTTACAAGAATACCTATAGCAGAAAGCCTAAACATGTTTTAATGTCACTAACAGTCAATCAATTCTCCAATTACAGAAGTGTCAGACATTTTAACTAAAAACACATTAATTTATTCCTTTTTTTATTATAAATTTTTGTCTGCAGTTTTAAAAAAATCCAGCAATGAATTGCTTAACTTTCCTGGCAACATCTGATAGTACCATCTGTTATCATATTTTATTAAAAACACTTTATATTTTTAATTATTATAAAAATGGTAAAAAGCCTAATTCTGAGGATAGGGATGGGTTTTATAAAAAATTGTAAATACTAATAACAAAATAAAATTGTCATTAAGTCTGACTGTACTGGAGAAACCCCCTTTATCTCCCCACTCCTCTATCTTTAAATCATCAAAATTTAATAGAATCAATCCCTCTAATAAACAAATCTCCCTGCAAAATTCCAGAAATTTTCAACAAAAAGCACAGGAGTTAAGCTTCAAACAGGGTGAACATAACCATAATTCCCCACAAACATCCATACATAAAATACCCAAATTTTTTTTTTGTATTCCGATGTTTCAAGGTGCTCTAATCCAAAAATATAAAAGTCTTGGGTGGTCATTTTTGACCAATCACCATACTTTTCCTCATATATAAACAGAGCCAGGAAAGTAAAACAAATCTCATTATTGTTAAGTACTATTTACAGTGCCATATTGTAAATATGATATTTGTAGTATGTGGTTCATAGATATTATCAAATGCAAAGCAACTGTTTGATGATCAGAAAGTGAGTTTGTGTTTTATATGCTTTTGGAAATTAGTTGGTAGTTTTGGATTGATAGTGTAATGCATAATATTTTTTCCCCTTTTAAAATAACAGAAAATAAATTTAGTTAACATTTTCTCCTAGAAAATCTGATTTTCAGAAATGGATTGATGCTAAGTAGAGAATTTCTCTAAATTACTTTAGAATGTGTGTCAAGTCATTTTTTTCTTATATTTTGCAATTCTCAGTGATTAAAAATTCACTGAGAATTAGGACAGAAAAAAATAAGAATCAACTGAAATAAAATTATATATAAGATTAATTTTAATTATTATAAAAAATTAACAAATTTAAAAAATACTTACTTTGTTTAGGATTCTGATCATTCTCCGTCTGAAAATCTCTTGATAAATTATCCATTTCTTTCTCATTTATTTGTTCCTGAAAGTAATTTATTAGGTTCTCTTTTATATTGTTAGATTGTCAATAACTTTATAAATAAAATACCTGAGATGATTGGGAGTTTTTAGCAAATTTTCTATATTTAGGGCTCTCTGGAAAATCAACAGTCTCAGTTGTATAGTTATCAGGTAATATATCCATAAATTCATTTATTTTTGCTGTCTCTCCGTATGATTCTTTATGTTGAATTTTTTCTCTACCCCTGAAAATGAAGTTTGTTATTTATCATAACTTATCACTTTATCAGAAAGAAAAAGCAATTACCTATCTTTGATAATTTCTGTTTCATTCAATAAATTATTTCCATCAACAACCATTTTATTTGCATGATTATCAGATGAGTAAGTAGTACTATCTCCTACAATATTCTGGTTCATACTGTTAAAAACATTTTTTTAATGAATATTTAGTGATAAAAGTAATGTACAGGTCATTTCATCTATGTTGGTTGAGCAAAGCACAGCATTTAGTTGGTATCTAAAGTTTCATAAAGTTCAAGAATCCCTTTTTGGTAATGCACAATACCCTTGTATAGAATTCATCAAACAATTGTTCTCTTCACTAAGTAAATAGATTGGCTCTTTTTACTGCACATTTTTACAGCCCAGTCAAGATTCATGAAATGAACTGCACACAATACGACAATGATTATACAGGGCTTATCTAAACTACTAAAACAAACTAACAGGGGTGATAGTAAAGATCAAAACAAGTTTGGTCCTATGAACTGGAGGGGGTATCTGATTTCTTCAGAAGATACAAGGGATAAACATTTGGTATTGCTGTCCATTTTGCTGCCCTATATGCATTGTGTAGGAAAGCAAAAGAAGGCACAGAAATTATTTGTGAAGTGCAAATAAAGATGAAAATGTTTCAAAATATAAAAAGATTTGTGTTTTAAATATCTACTAAACAGGTAGAGCTTTTGGAATAAGCAGAAGAAATATCAATTTTACAAAATTTTACAATGAGCAAATTTATTGTTGATTTTTAACAAATTATTTCATTTTACAACAAAGTAACTGTTTGATCATACAATTGCACATTTTGCATTATTGATTTGCTAATAAATGTGAAAAAATTACAAAAACAAGTGCAAATGTGCAATACGAATGCACCTGTCAGTGGTGACCACATCAGAAATGAAAATGGAGAAACCACTGCTTACAAGTAATTTTGTTCATTGTCAGAGTGTTTGCTTACAGGTTTTTTTTTTTTTTGAGAAACCACTGCTTACAGGTTATGTTCAAAACAACAGCAAACAACTTCATTGCATGCAATGAATCTTTGAACAATGTTATGGTACATGCACAGGATAAGTCCTGAGGTATCTTGGATTTCTGTTCCAACCACAAAAATTCATGTTATTCAGCAGAATTGACTAGCATCTCAGACAAGACTTACCTGGCTCCACAAAAGTTGACAGGTGTCAGAGAAATGTGGCAGCCACACCACAGATTCCCCTGTCCAAATGTGTAATTCAGATGGTTTCAAACAACAGGATTGAAGTGTAGTGAGCGCCATCATGTTGGAACCACAAGCAATATTGGATATTTAAGGGAATGTCTTCCAGAAGTTCTGGCAATGCTTCCTGCAGGAACATCAAGTATGATATCCTATTGAGATGGGGTAGTAGCATTTAAGTTCCCACTAGCTTCTGCCTTGTGATTCCAGTCCACACACTGACAGCATGCTTGCATTGGAATGCTCTGGAATAAGTGCTATGGAGATTTTCATAATTCCAAATTCTGCAAGTTAAACAGACCTTTTCTGGATGATGGCTCATCCAAACAACACAAATTCTGGGTTCTGCAATGCATTGGAACCATCACACAAAAAATGGCATGTGAAGCATAGTCTGTTCAACCAAATGCTTGTTAAGTACCTGCTGCAGACAATACGGATGCAGCTGGTTTTCATGTAAGACCCACCCACCAAACATTCATTTTGTTCATTGTCAGTGTTTGCAAATGCTTGCATTCTTGTTGATGGGTTCACTGTGTATGCACCAAAACCAGGTATCCCAAATGCTTCCAGCATTCAGGTTCTTGATATACCTAAGTCAAATGGTCAGTTTCATGCAACTATATACACATGCATGAGAATCCCTGTGCAATGAAACTGGATGTAGATAAGATTTGTGACAGTCACTGGACAGTCCTCCCAATTGCTGCCATCATAAAAAGCATAACTGACATTCTACATTAGTACAATGCATAGCAATCATGCATCTGACAGCTTAAGTGACAGTGTAACCATTTCCTTAAATACTATATGACGTCATTTATCTGCTAATAAATGAAAATGTTGGGATCTAACATTTTGTCCAGAGGTTCCATAACATTCACTTTTGATCAGCAAAATGTGCACGCTTTACAGGGTAGTGAATAGGGAAGCACCACCAGATGTTTTACCTCTATCTCCTAAAGAAGTGTTCAGCACCACCAACTTGCTTGCATTGACACCTACTATCACCCTTTTCAGAGTAGATCTCTAGTAGAGTATAGCTAAACTCCTATATCTGTCATGTTTCCCTACACTTCCATACATACCAATTTTTCTATTTTATATATTTGAAACTCAATATTTAAATTATTTATATACAGTGGTGCCTCATATAACGTACACCTCAAATAATGGACACTGCAAACAACAGACTTTCTGTTTGGCCATTATGTGACTCGAGCAACGGACGTTCCATTTGGCAGTTACGTGAGGTGAACAATGGACTTTCTGCGGACAAGTGCAAATGAGGTTTCCACTCTTTTGCCGTTGCCAATGACAATCTGATATTTTTATAACATATTAGTATTATTAGAATATATTATTAGTATATCTGAAGTACAGAGCTCCTGTTGGGATTTGGCTTGCTGCCTTGTTTATTACGTACATCACCTCAGTACAGGGTATTAACATTTATTCAAGTGTTGTGCAAATCATGGCTTCTAAAAAAAAAAAACAGAAAGGTGATTTCAATTGAAACAATGCAAGAAATCATCAGGAGGAGTGAAAGTAGACAAAAACTTTCTTGTCAAACGGGGAGAGGTTCAGGAATTATCCAAAGAGCTGAGGCCAACGGGATCAATGACACCCTTGCCCATCATTTCCGACAGGTGTTGAAGGAGAGAGAGAAACAGACCACCTTGGATATGTTTTTCAAGAAGCCAGCTGCCAAATAACAAAAGATAGAACAAGAGGAGTTGACCCTGCAAGCTCCAGTAGCTCTTCTGAATCTGACTCCGATTAAAAAACAAAAAAAAAAAAAGACCTGCTACAATGTGTAAAAAGTCTATCTGTATGAATGTGTGAAGAAAGTGTTCCTTCACCTCCTCCTCACAACATCTGACTATCCGGCATAATTGGTGACTGCTCCATTTTTATTTTTTTATGGTACAGTACAGTTATTTTATGCTGCAGAACAAATTATATGTTTTAACATGTATTTCTATGGGAAAATGTGTTTCGTATAACGGACTTTTCATTTAACGTGCACCTGGAACGGATTAAGTATGTTATACGAGGCGCCACTGTATTTAAAATATAATACAACTTATTATATTCATAACTATAATAAAAGCCAAACTTCTTATAATTACAAATATTAAATCAGCTGAAAAAAATTAAAAATATACTAAATATAAAAATTTTCTTCATTTAGAACTATTTCTAGACAAAAATTATTTTAAAAATACATAATTATACAGTCATGTCTGTATTTGTTTGAGCAAAAAGAATTCATTGTTATGAATACACAGTATAAAGTAGAGATCTACCAGCAAAATAGTCTACTTAGAAGTTTTTATTCAATCTTTTATCTATGCCTATAAAATAATAGATTTAACATACCTTAATGATTTGAATTATTACATTAATATTTTGTTTTTGATATTTTCTTGAATGAAAACAAAAAATTATTCTAAAAATCTAACTTGAGATCAAAATTTGAGAAATAATTAATTAGTTAATTGAATGAAAAGACAAGGAAAAAACTAGTTAAAATTATATTAACTTAATAATTACCAACCAACTGAGTTATTTAATAATCAACTATTGGATTGTTCAGAAAGTAAGTTCAGTTTTTCTGTGCGGAAAAAAAACTATTTTTATAATAAATAAATATTTTATTGAATTATATATCGACTATTTTGGCCAAATACCTGTCATCATAGTTTCTGATAGTAGCATGATTTCACATTCATAAAAGTTTTGACTGTTGCTTACAAAAAAATGAATCCAAGTGATTTTTGACATTGTCATTTCAAGTAAATGTCTTACAGTTAAAAAAAAATTTGTATAGACCAGAACAAGTAATAATCTGAGTTGCTCAATCTGGCAAATATGGTTGGTGTGATAGCACATCCCATCTAAGTTATTCATTATTATTATTATTTATTGTACATATAAATCAATAGACTAATGGTGAAGAAATAAAATATATACTATATACATACAATTAAATACTAAACTATAAATACATATTATATATAACTGTTAATACAGTAGAACCTCGAAAACTCTGCACTCGATAACCCGGCACTCCGGATAACTCGGCCACACCCTGGCAGGGCAAAAATACCCTTAGATAATTAATTTTCATCATAGACAGCTTTATACCTCAAAGTATTTTTCTGAGGTCTGTCTTATCAGGTAAATTACTGTACACTACGTATTCATTAATTTTCATTTTCATGTAGTAAAGGCTCTATGCCTTCATAAAGGACGTACTTTTCCTTTAAGGGTATTTGGGCAGTTTATTCTCTGTTGTATTCTCAAGCAAACAATACATACAAGTACAGTACAATATTTTCTGAGGAAACACGCATACTTATCCTTTTTTAACCCCATTCCCGATAACCCGGCATTTTCACAAACTCGGCCACCCTTTGATCCACATAGTTTGAGGCTCTACTGTATAACATAACAGGAAATAAATACATAGGATATACCAATATCATAAATGTAAAAAGCAATATGTAAAAAATAATATTGGACTTCATGCCGAATATTGGATAAGTAAAGTTGAGAAAATTATCATCTAGGCGTTAACAACCTACAGCTATCGCTACAAACAACTAGCGCTTTCAATGAAACTATTTTCATCTTCTTCAGGTTGAAAGAACAATTAATAACCTTCAAATTCAAATTTCAGCAACGGCAAACCAGCATTGGAATAAAAAACAAAAACAGAGAATTTGAAAGACACGTGCTCGATGCCGACATGCATGAGCAATAGAATATTTTGCGAGAATGCGGAGCTAGCGATGTTGTTTTAATCTGTTGTATAAGTTGACCCATAATGAAGGCACATCCAGCGTGGGGGTGTTGCATGGATTTAGCACACTGGTAAATAGCACCTCCCATATATAAAGAGGTTCCTG